TGATTTATCTCTTTATACGGTTTTGCCATAAGCCAGCTCTTGTTTAGAGGTTTTGCTAAATAGTGTTTTTCTTTTTCTTTTTCAGGATCACAAGCGAGTGGCAAATATTGAGGCGTATTCGAGATGTTGTAGTGCTATAGAAGATATGGGCAAGAAACTATGGGCATTGCCTTGTTCTCGTGATGCTAATATAGGCGATATGATCAAGGTTCTTTTTCTTTTTTTCCGTGTCTCAACACTGAATGTTTCATCATAATATATACTTGATAAAGCCTGAAGCAGAGCAAGTCTAGCCAGTGAAGGAAATCTTGCTTTCATTCTAAATTTTGTTGTAATCTGTATGACACAGGCCCTTGATACTTCTGTTGCGGAGTATGAAGTATCTATCAATGGTCCTATGAAGTGGCAGACACTATGTTCTTTTTTGAGAAAGAGGTTCTCGTTATGGTTATATACTTCTGAAAATTAAAGATTACTATGTTATTTTTATGTTTGATCTTTATGGGAAATTAACCTTTCTAATTTGTTAATTTGTCAGTATACAGGACATTCTCGTCCATCGCAGAGGGAATCAAATGGATGAACTTCTTTCTGAGAACTCCAAACTCAAGCTGCAACACTGTTCAGTGGAAAGCTCGATGGATTTGCTAAAGAAGCAGTTTGAAGGAGGAGAGAAAACGAGGAAGGAGTATCAGAAACGTTATGAGAGTGCCATTGATGACATGAATAAGCTCTCAGATCAGTTCAAACACCGGATTAATGACCTGGAAAATAAATGTAAGTCGATTCACCATGAACATTCGAATCTCATGGATGTGTTGGGGTCCACAAGACTAGAGGCTTCTGAGTGGAAAAGGAAGTATGAGGAGGCATTGGATGAGAATGGCGTGAGCAACAACAGTCGAGTAGAAGGAGTAGATGCAACCATTGTTAGGTGCAATAAGTCAATTGATTGGAAAATTAAATATGAGAATACTGTTGGTGAGCAAAAAATTGTTTTAGAGAAGATAGCGACAATGGAGGAGAAGTTGAAGCAAGCTTCAGCCACGGAAGATGGCATTAGAGCTGAATTCTCCCGAGTTTTGGATGAAAAGGTTAGGCTATTTTGAATTTAAAGAAATTTATTATATCAGAAATATATAATCGAACACATTTAACTGATTCTTGGTTACTGATAGGAGAAAATAATCACCGAGAAAGCTGCAAAGCTTGCGACTTTAGAGCAGCAATTATCCTCTACACGTTCAGAATTAAAGGTGAACTTCTCTGAAAGTTTTGAGTCCATTTGCCTAATCCCTTTAGATTCTTGTGAAGACCTTAACGAGCTCTTAAGAAGCAATTTCATTACTCTTCGAGCCCTGCATCTGTGTGCTGTTACGCAGTTTTGGTTGTTTTTTCTTTTGCAGAAAGGTGAGCTGAAGGTGGACGAATGTACTTTGGAAGCAAAGGACTTGCGGCTTCAAATCTCGGCTCTGAATGAGAGGTATGAATCGGTGAAATCTGCAGCTGAATTGCTGGAAACTGGGACACAGACAGTAAGGCGGGAGAAAGATGAGTTGGAGAAGAAGTATCTTTCGCATTTGGAGGTACTTGAAAAAGTCAGTTTGAGGCTGAAAAATGCAGAAAATGAGGCTTTAGCAGCTAAGAAACTTGTGGATTCATTGAAAATGGAAGCTGAAGCAGCCCGGAACAACGAGAACAAACTTCAGACGTCATTGCTTGAGAAATGCATAGAAATTGACCAAGCTAAGAGCCGTATCGAAGAGCTTGAAAAAGTCCGTTTGAAGCTCAATAGTGGGGAAAGTGAAGCTTCAGCATCTAAGAAACTTGTGGATTCAATGAAAAGGGAAGCGGAAGCCTTCCGGATTAATGTGAACGAACTCCAGACATCGTTGCAGGACAAATGCATTGAAATCAGTCAAGCTAAGAGCCGCATAGAAGAACTTGAAAAACTCTGCTTAAAGCTAAAAGATGCGGAAACCGAGGCTGCAACATCCAAAGACCTTGTGAGTTCGATGAAAACAGAAGTGGAGTCATCCCGGAACAACGAATACAAACTGCAGACGTTGTTGCAGGAAAAAAGCATTGAAATTGACAAAGCCAAGGGCCGTATCGAAGATCTGGAGAGGCAAAAGATGGAACTTTCTGAAACGTTGGAGAGAAGAGTGAAAGAAAACGAAGAAGCGGTTGCTGAATGGCAGAGAATCATCAATGCAGAGAAGCAAAAAAACATGCGGGTGAATTCGATGCGGCAAGAAGACTCTTTTATGGTTCCGGATGAAGCAACACCACTACATCGTGTGAAGCGATTGAAAGTAGAGGCAAGTATGACCTGTTCAGGTTCGGATTTCGGGCAAGAGACAGAAGAAGATACAGTTTCACAAGAGAGCGGGAGAGGTATGTTTGCAATGACCCCGAGAAAATGCACGAGCACAGGAGCCGGAGGTTCTTCCTGTTCCACGGGCTTGGATCATTCGAAATACACAATGAAGAAGCTAAGAGAAGAGATACTGAAACACGGGTTTGGAGCTGAGCTGGTTGGGTTAAAGAATCCAAGAAAGAGAGAGTTGGTTGAGCTATACGAACGGTGCGTTTTGCGAAGGTGAAATGTAACACAACATGAAGACAAAGGTCCAAGTCTCTTGCTCTTGGTTTCTGTTGATTTTACTGCTTCGAAACGAAAATGGTATTTGCAGATCCAGAGCCTATAACTGTCAAGGAAAATAATAAAGTCGCTGCTTTTTTATATTTATGTTAAGGCAATGATACGGCGGCGTTTTAAGTCTTTTCGTACAAAAGTCAACGACTATTAAAAGTCAAATAATGTACGTATAAACGAGCTAATCTATCTAGGTAATGAAACTACCGTTACTTGACGGCGATTTATGACGTATTTTTTACGGCATTTGGAAAATGGGCCGGGCTTATACATGGGCTTGTTAAACCTTTTTTTTTTTTTTCGTCGTTAAACGGAAATGGGATGATGTAATATTGCCTCACTAAAAAGACAAGAAAGAAAAAAAAATGTATAGACTATTATAGAGTGAAAAGAGTAATTTCCCGACAAACGTCGAACAATTTTATTAAATAATTTCCGACGATCACGCCATCACGGGACAAAAGCTGCCAAGGCTTCGATTCCACACTAAGCAATCGTTGAGAAAACTTTCATTACACATTGTCCCATGGGTCCAAAAGTCTTATAATTTAGCTTTAAATGCCTAAACTTTCTCTTATTTCTATATTGGACCCACATTTATTCTTATTCGTCATTGCTTTCTCTCTTTAATGTCTAAGAGCATGATCAATGATGAATGTTAAATAGTTTTTAATGGGTTGCTAAAAAATTAAAAATATAATTAAAAAAAAATTACTTAGCAACCCAATTTAACACCCACCATTGATCATGCTCTAACGAACTATCAGCGATATTAATTTATAATTTGTTTTTTATTGAAACATGAACTCCAATCTATTTGTCTCGAATTATTCAATCACAAATCGTAAATTTTCTAACGTTTGATAATCATGGTTATCAAAAACTTATGACATGTTTAGAGATTTATAGTTATAATAGATATATGCTTAGACATTAAGCTTTTGCTACCACAAAACATGATCTACTTGTAATCTTCATTTTCAACTAACTCAACTACCAAACAGTGAAAAGAAAAAGTCAAAAAGGATGTATAAAATAATAATAATTTGTGCTATTTTTCTTGTGTACTTTTCTTTTTTTGACCACAAATGCAAAATGATATCCATCTCAATTTATGAGACAAGACCCA